TTAAATATTTAATAATAAATCAATTTAATAATTTATTGTTTCATAAACAAAAATTTAAAAAATTTAATAAAAATCTGATTTTGATAATTTTAAACTTGGATTCTTATTTTTGAAATAAACTAAACTTATACTTTTGAATATGTAATCTTCCCTTTTATGTATTCTATAAGCCCATGATCTCGTCCATAGTGGAAAAACAAAAATTAATAATTATACTGAGCATTCTCGAATTGACTTGACTGTAAATAATTATGTAATGTAAATTAGATAAGTCCAATCAAGTTCATTTAATAGTTTGCGTAAAAGAACAGGACTAAATTGTACAAGTAATAATAATTTAGGGTCTATATGTCGAAAAGAACAAAAATAGAAAATAAAGATTGATTGAAACGAGATTACATTTTTGGCATGTCTTGGCCGTCCCTTGTAGAGGAGAGAGGAGAGATTATGCTCTCTTGATTTTTTTCTCGTTCTGTTTAACAATTGGGAGTCCTAGTTTTGTTTTCAAGGTTCTTAATTTGATCTCGAGATGCCCACAAACTAACTATAGTTTATACTTTAAAAGAGTAACAAATAAGATTGGAGGGTTGAAAGCTTAAATATTATATATGAAGATTTAAAAATTGAATTGAGAGTCCTTGGAGTTAAAATTAAGTCCCCATTTGGCCCACATTATCCCAAAAAATTATTATTCTTTCTTTTATTTTCAACCATACAATCTTTCATAAAATAATATTACACGTAAACAAAAAAAATTAATTCTTTTTTAACCACACACACTCCAAGAAAAAAACTAATTCAAACATTATAATTTGAAGTGATGGGGACCAAATTGGGGCTAATTGTGGGCTTCGACTTAAATTTTAGCATTGATTCTTAGGTGAATCAATCATGGACCTAGGATTTTACTAGTTTTTCACTAGGACCAACTTGAAATTTATCCGATAATACGTTAGATCATCCGATTATACGTTAGATTAAACCTTAGTGACAATGAGAGAAAAATATTTGAACGACCAATTTAAAATTTTGCACAAACTTTAGTGACAGTACGTTAAATTAAAAGCATGTTTGAGCCCCATTTTTTCTCCAAAATACATTTTGGAATAATATTTTGATGGAAAATATGAGGTTAAAATGTAAAGAATTTTTTTTGAATTTGCATGTAATATTATTTTATTAAAGAATGTGTAATTGAAAATAAGATAGGAAAAAATATATTTTAAAAATAATAAAGACCAATCAAGTGTTAAATCCAGAAAAAGTAGAGAACAACAAAAGATGGTAAAAAGTAAAAACGTCTGCACCATCTGAATCTCGAATCTATAACCTTTAGAGTTTGTTTGACAATCATTATCGTAGAAAAGAAGAGTTTTGAATAGTGATTTTTTTAGAGAATGTGTGATTAAAAAATAGGAATTTTTTTGATATATGTGTAGAATATTTTATCACGAGTGATTGAAAATGATGTCGTAGGAAATCATAAAATAAAGTAAGGATAGCCAAATATGCCCTTACTAATGTGGAATCTCCATCTTCTGTGGAATCTCAGTGCCCATTACAAACATAAATCCACCTTTATTTATTTCAATTTCAACCCAGTATCCCTCTGTCACCACTTGCACTTCTGGTCTGTACAGGTTCATCACATAACGCCATTTTTCGCGCTTTCCTATACTGTCTTCTTAAAATATTTAAGACAATTTTTTTGTAGTTATAAATTGCGGAGGTGGGTTCTGGATTGTGTTATTTTTTTTCGAACACCAAGTGGGATTTGGATTATTTATCATTGAATTTGGTAAATAAAAAAATGGCCTCAGTCGGAATTCGATCATTGAGTTTGTGTAAATCGTTAGATTTGGAATATTCCGAGGCGTTATGTGCGAAGTTGATGCCTGTGAAGGTGTCCGTGCTTAATTTTACGTGTAAAAAATTGGGGATTTCCGGAGGAGATACGAGATCGAATTTTTTGGAGCCTGTAAAGGCAATGGATGCTTCCAAAACGACGTCAGACATCAATGGCGGTTGCAATGCTATTGATGATTTCTTGACAACGGATTGCGATGGTTTCCCCGGTATTTTTTTCTGCACTTTTGATGTTTAAATTTTCTTATGGAGGGAGAATGGTTTTTGGGGATTTGTTTAGATTCTAATGATGCTGAATAACTGTTAACTAGGTAAAAGTACGCCCAAGATGTCAACAGTTGGAAATTCGACCAATATTCAATGGCATAAATGTTCTGTAGAAAAGAGTGACAGGCAGGAGTTGCTTAAACAAAAAGGCTGTGTAATTTGGATTACTGGACTCAGTGGTTCAGGTTTGTATAACACGAACGGCAGTTTATGTAATTAGTATTAGCTTCCCGAATCAATTGTTGCTCAGATCTTCTAGCTGTTCAACATTCATTAATTTGCTATACTTGTGACTTTCTGAAGTTTTCTTGATCTTTCCATACATTTGGACAGCCAGTGGCTAATTTTGATGTGATCACAGGTTCCTTTTGAGCATATTAGGTACACAGGACTGAACAAAGTTGGAAAGAATTTTGTTGTACTATCCAATCCTATCTAATAACGAGACCAAACATTCTATTGTTCAAGAGAGACACTATGGCTTAAAGGATACAATAGACTGATCTCGGGATAACACATTTTCTTTTTCTTCTTGCGCAGGAAGGAGATTGTTACAGGGATTTTGTGCTTGTCTTTTTCATTAGCTGTGGTAAATTTTTGTCAAGAAACCTGAAAACTCGTGTACCTCCAAATAGCAAAAGAATGCTGCTAGTTTGTTTATATACGAATTCATTTTCTACAACTAGTAAACCAGCTAGTAGATTATGAATATAAACCTAGATTCTTTTTACAGTGGTTTGAGTAAAAACAATTCAAGTGCTGTTGGCTACAGTTTTTGTCTTTGAAGGTTATATTCACATAGAGACTTGAGTGCTGGAAAAAGTTTTTTTTTTCTTTATCTTCGAAAAACAAACTCGAATCAGATTTCATGTGGGACCTCACGTCAGTATATGTCTTCAATTTTACGAGCATTAACATAATTATGCCAGTTGTTATAGCATTAGTAAAAACTTACTACTCAGTTAGTTTTTTTCCCCATTATAGTTTTATAATTGCTTCCATTTCTCCTTTCTGTCTTTAACACAGTATGGCTCTGTTACTCTTTAGTTTCTGGATTTATTGTTTCTTTCTTCTGTTTTTCACAAGTTCAAAGGAACCTTATAATGCTTTGGTGACACACGAGTATTCAGTTATATTCTGATCGTATCCCTCTAAAACCCTTTTTTGTCATTTTGTTCTTTGTACCAACTACCTTAATTCCCTGTCTTAGAAGCCAATTTGGCATGACTTTTGAAAAGCCAAAAGGAGCTCTTGAGACCCAAAAACTGCTTTTGGACCCGTTTGGTTAATTTTGTGAAAGTGCTTCTTTTAGTTGAAAGAACTTTTAGTGGAAGATGACTATGTGACTTCTTCTAAAAACACTTCAAGAATATGAAGTTTTTTTAGAAGATAGTTTCTAAGCACAAATTAAGGTAGCTTCCTCATGAAACTCTTCTATAGAAAGTAAAAGCAAAAGTCATGCCAAACGGGTTCTTAGCCCTCATACCTGCCATTCATCGCCAATCTAGAAACCAACAGTCCAGATCATCGGCACATATAATAATTAATCCTTGAATTTTTCCTTTCAGGAAAGAGCACTTTGGCATGTGCTTTAAGTCGTGGCCTACATGCTAGAGGAAAGCTAACCTATATCCTTGATGGAGATAACGTTCGTCATGGGCTAAACAGTGATCTTAGTTTTAAAGCTGAAGATCGAGCAGAGAACATCAGAAGGATTGGTTCGTTTATTGTCTGGTTCATGATATGATTATTCTTTCCAAAAAAATATATCTCCTTTATTAGCAGTTTAAAATATTCTGCTTGTTATTTTATCAAACGCAGGAGAAGTAGCTAAGCTTTTTGCTGATGCCGGAGTTATTTGCATTGCAAGTTTGATATCACCCTACAGGAAGGATCGAGAAGCCTGTCGAGCTCTACTGCCAGAAGGAGACTTTGTCGAGGCTAGTGTTTCTCAACTCAACAGAACTTTATCCCATACTTTGATGTTGGAAATTTTGATATGTGAAATTTGAGTTTGGTGTATATGTATTTGTTCCAATTCTTCAATTGAAAATTCTTGAATTTTGCAGGTATTCATGGATGTACCTCTACAAGTGTGTGAGGCAAGGGATCCTAAGGGGTTATACAAGCTTGCACGAGCTGGAAAAATCAAAGGTATTTCTTGCTCCTTAGCTGATGATTGAGATTTGGAAACCTGGTCTTTTTTTTTCCATTACCATCTATTTGCTTGTATTTTTGGCAAGACCAGGATTGGATACTCTTCTTTTCAATTTTTAAACTGCATAGATTTTTTCTACACAATAATCAATAATAAGGCTCCAAATGTCTTACCCTCCTGATCTTCTCGCCAAGCAGCCATTAGTTGCCAATACCACCTGCCAATATGACTTCACTCGCATCATGTTACAATGGCTGCATGGATTGACTTGTACCTTTCGAGAGTGGGGGCTTCAGAAGGCAAAATTCTGGCTTAACCTGTCATGTCTTTGCTCTATCGTCTATTCGAAGTTGTGAATTTCATATTCCTCCACTCCCTTGCAGCTCCATTCTTATTTGTGTATACAGTTCTTTATTAGCTTTAAGTTGATTTAATTTTCTGCTCTTTCAGGTTTCACAGGCATTGATGATCCATACGAGCCACCACTAAATTCTGAGGTATGCTTTCCATTTGAACTTGTTCTAGAATGGTCGTGTAATACAAGATCTTATGTGTTCTTGATGCTACAAATATATTTAGATTGAAATGTAACATTTATCATCTTCTACCCTGTCGAGTTGGCATGTGGAATGAGGTTCTTTTATTTGGGAATTGTTAAATGACTACCCACTACGAAGAAAAGAATTAAACCCTCCTTTTGGATAGCTGCATTGCGAAGAATGCTCGAGTATGTACATCAGTACATGAACATAGATGATTGGATAGTATTGGACATTGTTAAAGAAAAAAATTTAGTCGTGCATGATGTAATGTTTTGTCAGCCCCTGATGCTGTCGAGTTACCATGTTGCAGATAGTATTACATCAAAGAGAAGAAAAGTGTGATTCTCCAACTCATTTGGCCGAAGTAGTGATTTCGCACTTGGAGAAAAAAGGTTACTTGGAAGCATAATTTGCAATTCAAAACTAGCCGTTCTCCTGCAACAAAGAAAACTCTTCGTTTTCTTTTTGCATTGTAATTATTTAATTGATCAATCAGTCTGTTTCGCCATATTCTTTGGCAATTTAAATCTAATAAATAATGCGAAATTAATAATAAACTTCACATATTTTATGTTTTAATTTCCATATGTTTAACTTGCAAATTTCTTTTTATTGGAGGTGGAGGGTTATGTATTGCAGAAAAGCATTTTTCTTTTTCACGGTGTTTGCAAGTCATTCTTTTCGCCTAGGGGCAAATAATTTTTTTTCTTTTGAGTGTAAGCATAATTTTTTTCTTTTCGTTTTTCGTTTTTCTTTGATTGTAAGCAAGTTTCTGGGCAATTCTTGAGATTTGGCCTACGCACTTGAAATGTTGCCGCTTGTTAAGGGATAAAATCTCATATCGAATAAAGATGTAAACTTAAACTAATTTATGAAGGATTGAATTACTCCTCTTTATAAGATTGACCTTTTAAGATGGAATTCCATATTTTAATATGGTATCGAGTCTGTTAAGCTCCAACGAGTAATTCGATCCGATTAAAACTCCAAAAAGTGAGCATACAAATTTCAAGATTAATCTGCTCAAACGAGCCATCCGTCTTGCGAGGGCATGTTAAGAGATATAATCTCATATCTAATAAAGATGTAAACTTAAATCAATTTATAAATGATTGAATTACTCATCTTAATAAGGTTGACATTTTAAGATAGAATCCCAATTCTTAATATAAGTAAACTCGATATTTTTCCATCAACTACCACAATATGATATTTATCAATTATACATTTTACATTCAATTTTAGAACAATGACGAGTTGACATTTCAATTTAAACTTACCAAATTCAAGTTCTCAACTTCGTGATATCCAAATTGACCTACCCAAATTTCTCATTTCTTCGAGTACAATTTTGTCATATCGAGAATTGAACACAAAAATTGCAAATTTTATCAACCATGTCAAGGTCTAAATACTTGAATCTGCTACGATTAAGAATCTTGAACATGTTAATATCCCTATTCTCTTTTATTAAGAAAAAGAAAAATCGATCTTGTAAGAAATCCGTTGAATATTCCTTATGTTTCCCACCCGACACAGTTTGACACGCAGTGAGACCTGATTGGCTCCAAATCTTATAGTTGTAGAATATCAAGAGAACAAGCAAGCAGGGAAAAGCAAGTGTCTGATTAGATCAATCAAGAGAGCTATCGATACTTGGTTGGCTGACAAAGAGATTTTGAGATAATGATTTTGTGTTGCGGTAAAACATAGGATTGAGTCAGTGTAAAATAGCAGCGGATATGCAACAATGACAATCTTTAGCACTCATTAGTCTCAGTCTCGACACTCGGACTTTCAGCTTAGAGCGAAAGAAAAGGACAAAAGGAAGAGCTCACAAAGATGTGACCTAATGAGCTACCCGATTCATGAACATATGCATTCTATACACCATGATCATCGGGTGGGAAAGCCCTCACTCTTTAAGCACTGTGCCCAAACATTGATGAATCTTCTATAAAGTTTGATTTCGACCTCGATGAACCTGGCACATCTCTTCAAGAAAGCCAGATAGCAGAAGATAAGGAAAATTCATTTGATGGGGTGACTCTATCTATGCGTCTACTCAATTTCAAAAATTAAATGCGTAGAGATGACATTTGTCAATATGCAATTGCTGCTCTATAGTATACACAACCTCACTCATGTAGCCTTCACAGTTGAGAACATAACTACGAGAGGGCATGTTACACTTACCAAGCTTCTCTAACAAGCTGTTGTTTGAGATTTGTTCAATAACCTCGTGAACTTGAAAATATGGGCCACACAAAAAGAGTTTGTCCATTTTTACTAAAAGGATTTTTTCGTAATTGTAATCGAAAAATGACAACTTTTACGAAGTCTTCCAATTTTGATCACATTACAAGTAATCTGGTCTAGAAATCAAGAATGCTCTATCCTTTTTTGCCATCTTATGTCCAAATAAGTCAACAACCTAGCCAAACACGTAATAACAAGAAAACAAAAGCTAAAAATGTAAGAGAAACGCTATTTGTACATTTATTTCATAAAGATATTTTAGGTTTCTCTTTGAAAGTGTTAATTGCTAGTCTGACACTATTTAATTTATGGGAAAATTGCAGCAACGATTCCCAACCTTTTTAATTTTTGCAGATTTTATCCCAATCTTTATTTTGTGTCAATGAAGGTCATAACTTTTTAAAAATATGCAGTTGTAGTCCAAATTGATGGCATTTGACCGTCAGTTGACAAAGTCAGTCAAAATTTGTTTAATTTTGACCATATTGAAAAGGGCAAAATGGTACTTTTGTTATTTATTCTCATTTATCCATTGTAATAATTAATTAAAACAAAACAAAACAAAACAAAATACAATTATAATATTTTAAAATATAAATCACCATCACCCATCCTCCTCCTACTTCCCCAGCCCACCCACACCGTGGTTAGCATCGTCGTCGTCGTCGACACCTCCACACCTGGCATGACTCCCCACCCCCACACCCGACTTCACCACTTATCAACATCGGCATGAAAATCCCAAAACACCCAACTCGAGTTGAGAAGTAGGTTTTGAAAGGGATCAAATCTTCATCTAAACCCAAATCTCAAACCTCAAATACAGTACCAGCTGTGGTAAAATTTGACATGATCTTTTTGGCAATAGGATTCGAGCTTCCGTAGAGTTCAAGAACTGAGTTTGACTCGTATGGAGGGGTAATGAAGACAATGTTGCTTGGAGAATTGTTGGTCCAGGTGGTCATTTCTGGATTTGGGTTCTTGTTACTTGGAGTAGATGTTCTATGTACCAACTGCATTGACTGTATGTCCACCTTCCTCTTGCGTTAACTGATGGTTGGTGGCAGTGGTTATCTGCGACTGTTGAAGACGTTCCAAATGAAAAATCAGTGTAGCCACGTGTTGGTAGAGATGAATTTGATTTTTGGTTTTAGATTGATGGTGGTGGGCGTGGGTGGTTATTTTTCTTGGAATGATTTTCGAGTGTGGAGATAAGTTTCTTGGTTTGATTTTGGAATGTGCCGAGGGCTTGAAGGTGATGATGGTGAGTAGGGTGGTGGTGAGTGGGAGTTGTGGTGGCGGTGTGGGTCAAAGGTGGCGATGGTGACTGTTTCTCGTAAGGTGTCATCGGAGAAGAAGGGTTGTTATTAGGGGTGGCCATAAGTTGGGTTGGGTTGATTTTTGCTTCAACCCAAACGCTACCCAACACGATTGGTTAGATCGAAATTTAACCCAATCAAACCCATGTAAAGATTGAAACCCAACCCAATCAAGTATCGATTGAGTTAGATTGGGTTGGTCGATTTGGGACAATTTGGAACACATATTTTTAATAAGTAACCACATCGCTAAAGAATTGTAAACTATAGTAATTAGTAAAACAATTGCATGTATAAGAAGAAACACCAAATGTAGCATAGAACAAAAAATTCAAGTAAAAATAAAGAACTAAAGAAGCCTGAAAAACGATGAGTAAAATAATTTACTTGGCTTGTAGGTTTTCTAGCATTGAATGTGCAATGATCAACGTGGGCAACTGAAAAACGAAGATGGCCGCTGTCTGCGATTTGAGCGAGAGCGGGAGAGAGGTAAGAGTGATTTTAGGGCTTTTTTCAACTAAGGATGATTATGTTTAGGCATTTTATTTATTTATTTTTATTTTTTATGTAGATGGGTTGGGTTGGATGGGTTTATTCGATTTTCATGGGTTAACTCATAACCCGACACAACCCGACCCGACTACACAGTCAAAAAATCGAACCCACTTAAAAACAACGAAAAACGATCCAAACCGGTCAGGTTGTTTCGATTTGGACGATTTTAACGGGGTTCAGTCGGGTTTTGCCCATCCCCAGTTGCTATACTGTTTTCATTTTGGGGGTTGGCGTGGGTAAGTGGGTTTATATATTTTAGGTTTTTTAATTTAGTTTTTTAACTTATTTAATATGAGAAATATCAAAAGTACCATTTTGCTCTTTTTAATTTGATCAAAATTAATCAAATTTTGACTTTGTTGACCAATTAACGGTCAAATTGATGTTTTCCATCTATTTATAGCTCCATGTTCATGAAAGGTTATGGATATTCGCTGGCACAAAATGAAGATTGAGGTAAAATCAGCAAAAAATGAAAATGTTAGGGATCATTGCTGCAATTTTCCCTTAATTTGTTCTATGATTTATTATTTGATGATTTTTAACTGCATATTCATGCAATAAAATATTTTATACATATATCAAAAGCGTGTTCTGAAAGGGAAATACAATTCGAACAATGTTGATTATTTCCCTTCCAGATTCCGTTCTCAATGTTCTTCTATCTGGCGAGCAATGAATAATATGTGGCCTTTTATTTCGGGAAATTCCAGCTGGAGTATCATAATGGTAGGCGTGTTTCTTTTTGGTTTGATAATTGGTTATGCATGAAACCTCTGATCAATCAAATCACACGGCCTATACCAAGTATTTCCCATGAGTGGCATGTGATAGATGTTTTGAATGGGGATTCCTGGGATTTCAGATTATTGTCTAATTGTTTACCAACTGAGGTTTTGGATGATTTAAATCTGTGTTGTCTTCCTAGAGATGAGCTGGAGGATGACATCCAGATTTGGAATCTTGCTGGCAATGGCCAATTTTCTTTGGCTTTAGCTTATTTGGCTCTTTTGGACTTGGGATTTAGCGATGATCATGGTTATTGGGATCTGGCCTGGCAATGGCAAGGCCCTCAACGTATCCGGGCATTTCTTTGGCTTTGCATGCACAATAAACTTTTCACAAATTATGATCGCAATAGACGACATTTAACAAATGACTCAAGTTGCCATGTTTGTCACAATGGCGTGGAATCCATCTTTCATGTGTTACGGGATTGGTTGTTAACCAAAGCCTTATGGTTGAAATTCCTACCCCGCTCGAATAATGCCAAGTTCTTTGATCTTAACCTCAAAGATTGGATGGTCTGTAATTTAAGGAATAGTTTTACAGCCAGGGAAAATTTGGAATGGAGAATGCTCTTTGGGTTTGCCTGTTGGTACATTTGGAAATGGCGCAACAATTTGGTCTTTAATAAAGCTCGGGTAGATTGTTCCTTGAAGCCTAAAATCATCCTCCATGCAGTTCATGCTTGTGTGGCAGCTTTTGATGCTCTTGCTACAGTTGGGGAGGTGAATGCAGTACGCAGAGAGGCCCTTATCAGCTGGATTAGACGGTCGATGGTTTTGTTGTTCTGAATACTGATGGAGCTTTTTGCAGAAATTCTCTTTCAGCTACTACAGTCATAACGGGATTTGGTTATGAGGATTTTCGATCAAGCTGGACCATTGTAACGTTTTTAGAGTGGAACTTTAGGATATTTACACTGGTTTGCAGGAAGCATGGAAGAATGGGTGGCGCAAGGTTCAGGTCCAAGTTGACAATTCAGTTGTCGCTTGGATTTTCAACAAAAATTCTTTGAAGTCCATTCAGAATGGGAATCTCATATCTCGGGTCCAAATGCTTCTGTATCAAGACTGGCAAGTCCAAATTCTTCTTGTTTACAGGGAAGCTAATACTATTGCTGACCACATGACCAACTTGGCTTTTGTTCAGATAGATCGTTTCATTTGGTATGATGGCCCCCCATCAAGCGCAAGCCTTCTTCTCTTTGGAGATATTATATGAGCTGCTCGTCCACGGATGATTCGCTCATAAGTTATGTTCTTTGTTTCCTTTCAAAAAAATAAAAAATAAAAGTTCATACATTTCATCTACAAATTTTCTTAAAAATTAATATCCAAAACTCTTTTTTTCTATGGTTGTCAAATAGTCTCAAATTAAACCGGACCGCACGTCGAAAACGGGTTTCTTGACGGGCCACGAATATGGAGGAAATAGTGGTAAATGCCCGGTTCTCGCCAAATTTTGCAAAATAGCCGTTAATCAATTTTTTTTAAAAAAAGGAAAAAAATACAAAACAAGGATAGAACTTTACTTTTCTCATTTTTACCCTTACCTTTGTTGGAAGAGTGAGAGAGAGGATTCTCACCCGGCCGACGACCCCACCGACCTGGACACCGAGGTCAATTCACAAGAAAGAAGGTGAGTGAGTTTGGGAACAATAATATGTATTTTTTATGATGATGCAATTATTTGGTTGAATTAAAAAGTATGGATTTGTTGATTATTATGTTATTTTCGAAAAAATTGTTGTAGAATCTATTATTTTAGGATGAAAGGTGTCTTGGGAGCAATTTAGGGGTTGGAGATCGCGAGTGGAGCACGGCCCAGAATTCTCGG